GCGCCCGCGCGCTTACCCCCTGTCGGCGGCTCGCATTCGCAGTCGGCGGGGGGCGCGGCCGCCGCGTTCGGCAGCGAGCGCCAGTTACGGCCAGCTGATGCTGCCAAGTTGATGGCCGCTTGCGCGCTCCTCGGCGTGCAGTTGAGCACTCCAGACTCCGGGGTGCACCGGGCGTGGCGGCGGTTAGCGACCCCCCACCACCCGGCCAAGTCGCGAGGCTGCCATGCTTCCGCGGCTCGTTGGCAGCAGTTTTGCGACGCCCGGTCCCAGCTGCTCGGGCCCTTCCGCGAATTGCGCGTCCACGGCGGATCCGTGGCGGGGGCGCAACCTGGGAAATCCCCAGCCTCGACGCGCGGTCTCGTGGACAGCGCGCCGCGGCCGCCACAGGCGACCGAGGCCGTCAGCGCCGTGTCTGGCGCGACTCCCGCCAGCGCCCGGACGGCCTTGTCGGCGGCGTGTTGCGGCGGCGGCCTCGGGTCTCCGGAACGCGCGGCCGCGCCTAGCGCTGCGCCTGGCGTTCTCTCGGCGCGGGGCGCTAGGACCAGCATGGGCCCTCCGGCTCGCGCCGCAGGTGCGCCACCAGCACCGCGCGCCGACGATGTGCCCACGCCTGCTTCCGTGCATCGTTCGCAGTCGAGCGCCCGTGCGCGCGTGCATGATGCCTCGCCGCCCGCCGCCGCCTCATACGCCGCGCCGCCGGCCGCCCCTCGTGCCAGGGCCGCTCCGAGGTCTCTGGAACTCGCGGCCGCGCTTAGCGCCGCGCCTATGGTGGGAGGCCCGCTCGTTGGCAACGCGGATTCCCCCGACTCCAGGGAAGCTGCCCATGACATGGTCTCTGAGGCGCTGGCGGCTGCGCCACACTTTTCCGAGTCCTTGGAGCCCTCTGCGCGCGCGGCCCAAGGTCCGCCCCAAGTCGGGGCGTGGGCCACCTCGGCTGCGATGCGCACCAGCCAGGTCGCTGTCCCAGCGGCCGCGGTCAGGCGCGCGCGTGCCGAACGGCGTGCTTTGGCGCGGCTCCGAACCGCGGTCGACGCTGTCGATGCCGCTCTGACCGAGGTCGAGCTGGAGAGAGGTGCGGAGACTGGGGAGAGCGCGGGAGAGCTGGCAGAGCGTATCCTGACGCTCCTCGCCGAGCTCGAGCGCCGTAAGGCTGCATTGTGCAGCGCCCGCTCACGTCTTGCCAATTGCGTCAGAGAGGCCGCGTCCGCCGGGCCCCCCGCGGCGGCGGCGGACCTTTTTGCGCCTGCGGCAGTGCCGGCTGCCCCCGCGGAGGTGGACAGCGCCGCCGAGGCTGAGGCGAGGATAGGTACGGTCCCGCACAGCGAGGCTGACACGGCGCCGCAGGGCGGTGGCCGTGCCGCCATTACCTGGCATCGGCGAGTCCCCCACCCCGCGCGCCGCCGCCGCCGTGCAGCAGGTGCTGCGCCTCCGAGCGCTCCGCGGTCAGGCGCCGTCCTGTCTTCGGCTGACGCCGCACATCAGGGCGAGCGGCAGCGCCCGCGGCTTATGGCGCTAGACGGCCCAGGGGCCGAGCTGTCCCCAGCCGCGCCGACGCCTTCTGGCTCGACCGCTGCCGCTGACTCCGGTCGCGGCCTTAGCCCCGCGCCTCCTCTCGCGCGAATCTCGTTCGCCCAGGGCTCTCGTTTCACCCCCGCTGATGAGAGCAGGCGTACACGCTCGCTCGATGCATTCGAGCTGTGGCTAGGTGAGCACACGGGCATTGTCCCTGACACGCTCTACCGCAGCGGGATCTTAGCAGGCAGATTCTTGGCCACGTTCGGAGTTTGGCTCCACGACGCGGGGCCCCCGCAGTACATCCTTGTTCACGCCGTGCTGGGCGTGCAGGCCAATCACCCTCACTGTAGGGGTTTGCTGACTGAGGCCTGGGATGTTGCTAAATTGTGGAAGCATTCCGAGCCTCCAGCGCGCTTCTTCGGGCATGCCCGCAGCTTCCCCGGGCTCCGCCCGCCGCTTCCCCGAGCGCTCCTTCGCGCGATGGTTAGCTCGTGCCTGCTGTGGGAGTGGCCCGAGATGGCTGCCCTGGTGCTGGCTGGTTTCACGATGTCCCTGCGTCCAGGCGAGATTCTCCACGCGAAGCGTTGTGACTTGTCGCTGCCATGCGACCGCCTTGAGCCGGAAGGCGACGCCTTCTTGTCGATTGCAGTTCCTGAGAGTTGTCGGTCTTATCCGATTCAATACGCTCGTTGTTCGGATCGAGCGACCGTCAAAATTATGGATATTGTGTTTCGGCATGTGGGCCCCACCGATCCGCTCATGACCACGACCTCTGGTCAGAGCGGCTTCCGTACTCGGTGGAACCATCTACTTGTCGGCTTGGGCGTGCCGCTCGCCAAGATGCCTGCGGGGTTCGACATCACACCCGTTGGCCTTCAAGGCACAGGCGCCACAGACTTCAATGCCGCTACGGAGCATTTGCCACGCGTCTTCTGGCGGGGCCGCTGGCGCCAGGCGTCCACCGCCGAGGGATATCTGCAAGACGCTGCCGCTTCTACTGTCCTTGCCGCCCTCCCTGAGGCCTCTCGGTCTCTGGTCGAGTACTTTGCGTCTGTTAGCGACTACCTTGTCGCGTCCTTCCTGAATGCTGGCCTTGCCGGGTGGCCCATTCAGCTCGCAGCCGCCCGCCGAACTCTTGTCACTTCGCAAGGGCTTTGAGCATGGGTATGGCTGCTACGACCTCCTGATGGTCGTCCAGGGGCCCGTGTTGGACACGGCCACCTGAGTGCGCCGCACGGTGCGATCGCGGCGGCCCGTCTCTCCCTACGGCCCGCCGCGCGCGCGCCGCGCGTCCGCCCCGAGACGACTGCTCTTCTGCGCAGCGAGCGGGGATGCACCTCTCTATCCCCATTCGCGCCCGCTACGCAGTCGTCTGCAGCTTCTCGGCCCCCACCCTCTACCTCCCTCCTTCTTCAAAGGCTGGCCTGCGGCGCTGCTACGACCTCCTGATGGTCGTCCAGGGGCCCGTGTTGGACGCGGCCACCTGAGTGCGCCGCACGGTGCGATCGCGGCGGCCCGTCTCTCCCTACGGCCCGCCGCGCGCGCGCCGCGCGTCCGCCCCGAGACGACTGCTCTTCTGCGCAGCGAGCGGGGATCCTCCTCCTCCTCCTCCTCCTCCTCCCCTCTCTCCTCCTCCTCCTCTCTCCTCCTCCTCCTCCTCCTCCTCCTCCTCCTCCTCCTCCTCCTCCTCCTTCTCCTGCTCCTCCTCCTGTCTCCTCCCTTCTCCTCTGCCTCCCTCCTCCCTCTCCCCCCCCCTCCTCCTCCACAATTACACGATATGAATACTATTATCCTCTCTCCCCTTCCTCCTCCTTGTACAGCTACACACTATGGATTCATACTGATGTCGATGCATTCTCAGCTGTGCGATGAGGCTGGGATTGGCACTCCTCTATTCGTCTTCGTGGGCGTTGGCTTCTCATGGTGGTGGCGCCTCTGATAGACCAGGACTTACAGCTCTTGCCCCGGCGCATGCTCGCGTAGGAGGACCAGCATCAGTTTGTTCGTTGCTAGGAGTGGTAGAGTAATGAGGGGACGTAGACAAAGTTACACAATATAAGTACTACTCTCCTCTCTCCCCTGATGACGTCCGGAAAATACCCGGCACCCCTCCGCGTATTGTTTTTTACAGGAGTCTTGGGAGATGGGTTTCTGCTTGAGCTATTCGACATGTTGCTCCCGCTGCAGCGCTGGGTTATTTTTCGAGCTTCCGCTCGTTCCGAATCGTGCTCCCGCTGCAAAGTTGGCCTCATTTCCGCGCTTCCGCTCGTTCCGAATCGTGGTCCCGCTGCGGCGCTGGCGTCGTTGTTTCCAGCGCCATGCCACGGCATGGTTTTTCCGTCCTTCTCAATAGGCCCCAAAACCTAGAAAATGGCCCCCCGAAATCACCATCGGAAGTGATTTCACTTTCGGTGTCGATTCGTTGATTTTGGGGGCCGCAGAAGCCCCCACTTGGGGGCGTCGCAACGCCATGCTATGTCATGCTACGCGTTGATCTTCAACACCATGCTATGCCATGTAATGCTATGCCATGCTACGACATCCGACTGTGCGAATAGAGAGGAGATCTACGCCATGGTAAGGGATGGACAGGAGGGGTAGGACGTCAGATCTGACGCGAGCGCACTTAGCTTGCCAATTTTCCCTCTCTCCCCTTCCCCTCCCTCTCCCCTCCCCTCCCCTCTCCCCTTCCTCCCCTCGCTCCTCCCCTCCCTCCTCGTTCATTCCCCCCCTCCCTCCCCCTCCCTCCCCCTTCCTCTCCCTCCCCTCTCCCCCATCCCCTCGCCCCTCTTCCTCCATCCCCTCCCCCCCTCCCCCCTCCCCCTTTCCCCATACCTCCCACGCCGCGGCCTCTTGGGCGTGGAGCCCCAGCGGTCTCGGCCCCTTCCCCCGGGGCCGCCTGGCCATCACGGGTGATGCCTCTTCCTCCTCCTCCTCCTCTTCCTCTTCCCAACCCTCCTCCTCCTCTTCCTCCTCCCACCCCTCCTCCTCCTCCTCCTCCTCCTCCTCCTCCTCCTCCTGATCCTCCTCCTGCTCCTGCATTCCTGCTCCTTTAAAATAATTTCTCCCTGTCGGGCCCGGCCAGGGCCCCAATTGTAGAAAAGCCGTCCGCCGTGAGTCTCCAGCGAGACCCGGAACTCCTCGGGCAACGAAACAATCATGACGGCAGGTTTTCCATGATTGTCGGTCGGCCTCCGAGGGCCTTCACTGGGCCTCAGGACCATCACAAAGCGACTCGGGATGAAGAGCCAGTCCCAGGGAAGGGGCCGAGACCTCTGCAGGGGCTCGACGTCATGAATGACGTCGGGGGTCTGGGGAGGAAGCGGCACACGTCTCACAGGCGCCCAGCCCTTGGTAACGAAGAGGGGGGCGTGCACGGGATCCTCTCCAAGGGAAAGGGGCTGAAGCCCCCCTTCCCCACGGAAGGGAGGGCGTGACCTCCCCCTTCCTCGGGGGGGCGGGCTGCGGGCGGCGGGGGGCCCGAGGCGATCCAGACCGAGAAGGACCGGGCGGCGCAGCTGGCGAAGGAGAGCAGGACGAAGGCCGGCGAGGACAAGGAGCTCGAGAAGGCCAGCGATCGCGCGCGCGCCGCACGCGGGTGCGCACCTCCGGGGGGGGCCTCCTCCGCGGGGGCCTCGGTCCCTTCCGGGGCTCCCGCGCTGTGGCAGAATCACGACGGACTTCTTGACGCAAATCCGCTGTGCCAGTGGGGGCCCTCGCGGGCCCCCTGGGACCGCGCGCGCGCGCCGCGCGCAGGTGAGCACCGCCGCACATGCGGGGGACGGCGACGGGGACGGCGACGAGGGCACGAGCACGGAGGGAGGGGCGCGCGAAGGACGATGCGACGGGGGAGGTCGCCATGGGGGGAAGCGGGTCCCGAGGTTTGTCGTCGTTTTCGGTCTCTCGGGGTCCTCCACGGGCCCCGGGACTGCCCGAAAACGATGCAGGATGAACAACATCGTCTTGGGGGAAGGCGCCAGGGGCCATGACCCGTTTCCCTCAGCACCCGCTTCCCCCATGCCCGAGCCTTCTTTCTGGGTGGAGGGCAAAGGGTGAACCCTGAAATGCCGTTTCGATGGATGCTCGAGGCTTGAACCTGCAAAATGTGAGTCACAAGACGGGCTGCTTTTCGAGGTGCAGAAGCCCATATTCAGGAGGGAAAGAATCACACAGACACAATTAACCGTCGATTCCCCAGAAAATATGGGAAAATATGGGAAGTGGGGGGGAAGACAGAAACCCAGAAAATATGGTAACATACGAGGCATCTTTTTATTTGTGTGTATCTATTTGTGTGCCCTGGGGCCCCTTGACGTATGGATTTCACCCTGAGCCCTCCACCCTAAGAACATGCTCAGCATGCAGGGGACACCCGGGGCAGCCGGGGCGGCGAGGTGCGGAGGCCTCTCCCGGCGCGCCCATGCGCCGGCATCCTGGCCTGCGCGCGGCTCGGGGGCGGAAAAGAGGGGGGTGATGACTACACCTAAGGCGATGCTTAAGAAAACCTAAGTTTTCGGCCAGAGTCTCGATTATTCTTAATGTTTCAGTGTAAATCTTAAGATTTTAATCGAAATCTTTGGTTTTTAAATAGAAAATGCTGGGTTTTTATTCAAATTCTGAGACTATGAAATTCTTAACCCATGATTTCTTATGATTTCTTAAGCATTTCGCAGGGTGTAGGGGGGGGGGATATCATGGCGTGAGCCATGATGTTTCCCCAGATTTCGTGGCGCCCCTTCTTGTTTCATTACGTCCCTGCCCCCCCCGCTGGGCCGCGCACATGCCGCCGGTCATGATTTGCACCCCCCCCTCTTGGACACCCCCCTCTTGGCCGCTCCCGACCTGCGCGCGGCTGGACAATGGAGGGGGGGAAGGAGTCAAGCAGTGCATGGCGAAGCGTCCTGGCTCGCCCAGAGGGCCACCAAAGAATGCTCCAAGAGCCTTTTGAGGCTTGCACGAAATATCAGTAAAACATTTCTAGCCGGGACTGTCTCGTTTTAACACATCGGGCTTGTGTTATAAGAGCATTGCTTTGTTATTAGAAGACGTTGGGGTTCTAAGAACATGTCATGGCAGGCCTACAGGAATGCCGGGACGGTCGGTCCCTGCTCGCAGGAGGCAGCAGCAGCAGGGGAACTCCTCCACAGGGGACCTGGGGCCCGCCCGGGAGCCAACTGGATACCCCCCGCGCCGTGACAGAAGCACCACGGACATTATGTTGTCATTGTCTGCCCCTGGGGGTTCTCGCGGGGCCCTGGGACCATCAGCAAACCGACTCGGGATAGCGCGCCCGTCGTAGGAAGGGGCTCCAGACCTGTGGGAGCCCACTCTGTCAAGAACAGTGGCGTGGCATTTTTCCCCAACCATCCTGTTGTGTTGGGCCCTCGTTTTGACGAGACAGCGCCCCGCGTTCCTCCTCTCCTCCTCCACCTCCCTCCTCCCGTCCGTGCCTCTGCCCTCCGCATGTTTCTGTTTCGGTACACCCCTCACGCGCTTCGTGACCCCAACAGGTGTTCAACCGAGGGCCCCCGTGGTGCAGCCCGCACGCGTCCCCGCCACCCATTCCGGCACACCCCTCACACGTTTCGTGGCCCCACAAGGAGCTTCACCGAGAATCCCAATGACGCAGCCCGCAGGCGCCCACGCCGCCCATTGCGGCACACCCCGCACACGTTTCGTGGCCCAGAGAGGCTCCGCCAAAGGACCCAGAGGCGCAGCCCGCATGCGTTCCCGCCACCCATTCCGGCACACCCCTCACACGTTTCGTGGCCCCTGAAGGGTTCCGCCCCTCCCACCTCTCTCCTCGTCGTCGTCGTCGTCGTCGTCGTCATCTTCCTCCTCCTCCTCCTCCTCCTCTTCCTCCTCCTACTCCTGCTCCTCCTCCGCCTCCTTCCCCTTCTCCCCCTCCTTCTCCTCCTCCTCCTCCTCCTCCTCCTCCTCCTCCTTCTCCTCCTCCTCCTCCTCCTCCTCCTCCTCCTCCCCCTCATCCTCCTCCTCATCCTCCCTCTCTCCTCCTTGCCCCCTCTTCCTCTCCCCCCGCCCCCGAGCGTCGCGCCAGCAGGTCGAGGGCCGCCTCGCGAAGGAGAAGGAGGCACGCCGCGTTGCCGAGGAGCGGGCTCGCGAGCTGGAGAGGGCCACCGAGGAGAAGGCGGCCGCGGAGCAGGCCCGTCCTCCCCCTCCTCCTCCTCCTCCTCCTCCTCCTCCTCCTCCCTCCTCTCCTCTCCTTCTTCTCCTCCTCCTCCTCCTCCTTCTCCTTCTCGTGACCTCCTCCTCCTCCTCCTCCTCGTCGTCGTCATCATCATCACCATCACATCACCATCACCATCACCATCACCATCACCATCACCATCACCATCATCACATCATCATCATCATCATCATCATCATCATCATCATCATCATCATCATCATTATCAGCATCAGCATCAGCATCAGCATCAGCATCATCATCATCATCATCATCATCATCATCATCATCATCATCATCATCATCATCATCTTCATCTTCATCTTCATCTTCATCTTCATCTTCAGCATCACCACCACCAGTATCATCATCATCATCATCATCATCGTCATCATCACCAGCCGCAGCATCATCATCAGAACTATCATCATAATCATCATCAGCATCAGCATCATCATCATCAGCAGCAGCATCATCATCATCATCGTCGTCGTCGTCGTCGTCAGCAGCGGCAGCAGCAGCAGCACAATCACGGTTTCCCTTATCCTCCTCCTCCTCCTCCTCCTCCTCCTCCTCCTCCTGCTCCTCCTCTCTCCCCCTCACTCCTCCTCCTCCTCCTCCTCCTCCTCCTCCTCCTCCTCGTCCTCCTCCTCCTCCTCCTCCTCCCCTTCCTCCTTCTCTTCCTCCTCCTCCTCCTCCTCCTCCTCCTCCTCTTCCTCCCCCTCCTCCTACTCCTCCTCCCTCTCCTCTTCTTCTAGAGAACTAGACGGTGACATACAGTGGGAGTCCATGTCACGACCCCCCGTCGTTCTGAAAGGTACCTGAGAGGCTTTGTTGCGCGGGCCATCAACAAACCACCTGGCCCAAGGTACCCTGAGTCCCTGAGTTTCCTCGCTGGCAGCCGCTAAGCAAGAAACCCAACCCTGGCCCAAGAAACGTCAGCGATGCGGATTTCTCGGATCGACGTTGGACTCCCCTGGCGGCGCCTACTGCGCCGATTCAGGAGATCCGCTCGGAGCGTTCAGTTCTCCATCCTTCTTCTCGATCTCGAGGAGGAGGGCTTAAAGTAAAAACTGTATGTCAAAATGGTTGGCTGCTTTCGGCTTTCAGAGGCCCTCGAGAGGCCTCGGGACTGTCAAACACATGCGCAGGGCGAACATCCGGTCTGTGGGAATGGGTCGAGACCTCTGGAGGTCGACAATGTCAGAAATTCCTCCTCCTCCTCCTCCTCCTCCTACTCTCTCCTCCCCCCTCTCTCCTGTTGTTCAAGGAGTCATCTCTCTCTCTTTATCCTGCGGTGGCCGCTGGCCACAGAGCTTCCACAAGTTGCACTCCAGAGTTCCGCGCCTGCCCCTGCGGAGGGAGGCGACCAACAGGAGTGGCCTGCCGCTGCTCGGCAGCTCGGCAGCAGGTGCTCGCCCCCGCCGCCCTCGTCCGTGTTAGAAGCCGGGCCCTCGCGCGGTCCTCGAACGTCGGACGTCCCGCCGCCAGGTTGGGGCCTCCGCGGTCCTCGAGCCCGTCCTCCTCCTCCTCCTCCTCCTCCTCCTCCTCCTCCTCCTCCTCCTCCTCCGTTGCTTCTCCTTCTGGATGTCTTCTCCTTGTCGCACCCCGCGGCCAGTTTTTTTAGGGCGTGCCGGTCGTTTCGCCTGCACTGATCCTTCTGAAGCTTAAGATGTTGGCAACAGCTTCACAGATGGAGGGCGGGTCGTTTTCAACATGTGCCTCTCGCCTTAGCGCGGTGCACATTTGTCGTCGTAATTTGCAAAAGCTTTACGGATTGAAGGCGGGTCGTTTTCAACATGCGGTTCTCGCTTTAGTGCCGCGCACATTAGGTTTAAACAGTTGCAAGAGTTCCACGGATTGAGGGCATGCTGCTGTCAAAATGTGGCTCTCGGCTTAGCGCCACGCACATTCGTTTGAACAAGTTGCAAGAAATTCACGGATTGAGGGCGGCTCTGTTTCAAAATGAACCACGTATTGAAATCCGATGTGTTTAAACATCCGATTATAAAAAAAAACTGCCCCGTACGGAATGCCCAGGAGAGGGGAGCGATAACCAGTGGCCCACGCCGCAGGGAGGCAGGGGCAGGCCGCACGAGACACAGAGAGTCGGCGACTCCCGGGAGGGTACAGGAAACGGTGGGAAGCAGGAGGGGAAGACTCCCTCCTCCCTCCTCCCTCCTCCCTCCTCCTCCTCCAGAACCTGCAATGGAAGATTGCGGGCACCTCCCGGGCCTGGTGTCTGTCTGCTTGTGTCTCCCTGGGCCCCCCCCCCCCCCTCGGAAAGAAGGGCCCGCGGCTTCCCTCAAGGCACCTGTGCGTCCCCGCCCCTGCGGCCCGGCCGTCGCCGTCTTCCCTGGCCTCTGGATGCAACTCCTAGGAGGTAAAATTCTGACTTTGCCCTGGTCCGACATGCGGCTTATTCCGCCTCAGTGCCGCCTGATCCAGCCCATTCCCGCTTATTCCGGATACATGCCTCTTCGTCCGCGGAACAATCCGGCGTTCTAGCCCCCCAGTGGGGACTAATCGTTTTTTCCATCCTTCCGGCGAAGTATTCCTAGCAGTGGCCTCCGAATTCCCGACGAAGGCATCTATACACCACCACCGTGCCAGGCCCTGCCTTGGCACGGTGGCGGTGTATAGATGCCTTCTGCGCATATCTGGCCAGCCCTTCGGGGTACCCTCGCTGGCGGGCGGCGCCCCTCGAAGAGGGCGCTCCTGCGGCGGCCTCGGCCCTCGATGTACAGATGTCTGCTTTTGTTGGTTTGCCTGGCGTTGCTCCGCCCCCCCTGCGTCGAGCGACCAACCCGCGCGCCCGCGGGGCCCGCGGTGAGAAGAAGTCTTGAGGATCGAAGAACCTGGCTTGGCTCTCCATCGTCTTCCTCCCCCTCCTCCTTCTCCTCCCTCCTCCTCCCTCTCTCCTCCCTCTCTCCTCCTCCTCCTCCTCCTCCTCCTCCTCCTCCTCCTCCTCCTCCTCCTCCTCCTCCTCCGCCCTCCTCCTCTTCCTCCATCTCCTCCTCCCCCGCTCTTTGCGCCCCGTCCGAAGCGCAGGGTGCGCGTCCTCGAAAACCGGTGCGCCCGAATAGCACGGTGCAGGCGTGGCCTCACTGCGGCCCCCGTCTTCGCATTGAGGATCTTGATTTTTGGCAGTGTGGTTCGATGCATCTGCAGAAAAAAAACCCTGTCCCTGACGACGCAGGCCCCCCTGACTGAGGTCCCCTCCCAAAGGGCGTGGGGTCCTTTTTATGCCTCACTGCGGTCCAAATCTTCGCAGTAAGGATCCTAATGTTTGGCAGTGTGGTTCGATGCATCTGCAGAGAGAACCCCCTATCCCTGATGGCGCAGGCCCCCCTGACTGAGGTCCCCGCCCACAGGGCTTGGGGTGTTGAAATGCCTTATCAGAGAGAAGTGGTGCGCGGCCGGCGCTGGCCGGAGACTGGCCAGGCATCGGGGCCCCGGCCGAACGTTCAAGAAGACCGAATAGAATTTACGCCGACGGGAGGACCCCACACGAGAATCTTTTGACGAACGATCAACACGCACCCATACCCATAGGGGAGACGGAATGAGCTATGGGTGCGTGATGTCGGATAGGGGTCCCCGCTCGAACGGGAGCCTCCTCAGGGGTCCGACAACCCGCACCCATGCCCAAAGCCAGTCCTTCTCCCTCCGACCTCCCTGTGGGTATGGGTGTGTGTTGTTCGTTCGTCAATCTTTGCAGTGCGGGTGAGATTCAGCCTCGCCGACGCCTGACAGCGGTGGTGATGGCAGGTCGCCAGGAGACCAGGCTGCGACCTTTTTGTGGCCGTGGAGGCCTGGGGCGCCCGTGGGGCCTGTCCTGTGTGCGTGGCATGTGAGACCTCCGGGGCCTGAGGGACGTGCGCGGTGCGTGGGACCCGTGCGGCCTGCGGGGCCTGCGCGACCTGTGGGGCCCGTGGGGGGCCCACGGGACTTGTGTGGCCTGCGAGGCGTGTGAGGCTTGTGGGGCCTGCGTGCCCTGGAGGACGTGCGGGGCCTGTGGGACCTGCGGGGCCCGCGGGACCTGCGGGGCCTGCAGGACCCGTGGGACTGTGTTGTGAGACCTGTTGGACTTGGGCGACCTGTGCTGCCTTTAGGACAGGTGGGCCTTTGTGGGACCTGTGCGACCCGTGGGAGCCGTGGGGCCTGTGGGTCTTGCTCGGCCTGCGGGACCTGTTGGACCTGCGTGACCTGTGCGCCCCCGGCTCCCTCTTGAGGTGTCTTCGCGGTGCGCTCACGGGCGAGGCTCGCGCTCGGGACTTCCTCCATGTTCAGGCCTGACGAGCCCAATGGTGACGACAGCTCCAGGTATGCCGACGACCCGCTCGGATTCGAACATGGAGGTGGTGACCCCGTCGGGAGGGGCTCCGGCTTGAAACTTCCCTGCAATCCACTCAAAGAAGCTACTCCCGCCCGTGGAGCCCAAAGGTGACGGCAGCTTCAGGTCTTCAGATGACGCGCTCGGATTCAAACAGGGAGGTGGGACCCCATATGGAGGGGTTTGGTTGTTTGGTTACTCACAGACGAGGTTCTCGCTTGAAACTTCTTCATATGCAGGCATGAGGGCACCAGAAGTGAAGATACTTATACTTTTCGGACGGCCCGCTTGGATTCCTAACATGAGTTGCGGGCCCATAGGGAAGGATGATCCCGCTTGAGACTCCCTCGCAATTCACTCACATACGAGGCTCCCGCTGGATACTTCCACCACATGCAGGCAACAGCACCCCAAAACTGGCGGCAGTTGCAAGTTTTAGGACGACCCGCCCAGATTACTAACATGAGTTGCGGGCCCCATAGGGAGGAGGCTCCCGCCTGCGACTTCCTCATAATTCACTCACAGACGAGGCTCCCGCTGGATACGTCCACCCTATTCGGGCGCGAGGGCCTCAACAGTGACGACTGGCACAGGTTTCAGGCAGGTTTTACGATGACCCAGACGAATTACTAACATGAGGAGCTGCGGGCTCCCCTCCTGTCCCTCTTTTTCCTCACAGGTGGAGCCGATACGTTTCAAGGAGATTTCGTATCACAGCGGAGTGTTTCACTTCAGGCGTACGTCGAATATTTGCCTTGCGGAAAAAAAGGAGGGGGCTCCCGCTCGAGACGTCCTCCCAAAGCACTTACAGGCGATGCTCGCGCTCGATACTTTCCTCGACGTGCAGGCCTGAGAAGCCCAAACATGCAGACAGTTGCAGGTTTTGTAATGACGCGCTCGGATTACTAACACGAGCTGCGGGCCACATAGGAGGGGGGCTCCCGCTTGAGACTTCGTTGCAATTGACTCACAGACGAGGCTCCCGCCCGATATTTCCTCCACATTCAGGCTTGAGACGCCCTGGCATGATGATGAGGGGGTGGGTGATGAGTGAATGTGAGTGAAAGAGCGAGCGAGTGATTGAGTAAGTGAGTGAGTGAGGGTGAGTAACGTGATGGTGATGATGACGATAATGACGATGGCGATGATGACGCGGATGATAATAATAACATTGATAATGATGATGATATTGATGATGGTGGTCACGAACATGATGATGATGGTGATGCTGCTGCTGGTGATGTTGATGATGATGATGATGATGATGATGATGATGATGATGATGATGATGGCGAGTGCTGATGGTGTAATGATGATGCTGATGGTGGCGATGGTAGCAAGGATGGAAATGGTGACGATGAGGATGCTGACGATAATGTTGATGATGATGAAACTGCTGATGTTGTTGATGATGATGGCGATGATGGTGACGATGATGATGCTGATGAGGAGGATGACGAGAAGGACGATGATGAGGATGATGATGATGATGAGGATGATGATGTTGATGCTGATGCTGATGCTGCTGATGATGGCGATGGTGCTAATGATGGTGATGAGGATGATACTGATGCTCGTGCTGATGGTGATCATGATGATAATGCTGGTAATTATGCTCATGATGCTGATGATGCTGATCATGAAGATGGTAATGATGTTCATGATGATGATGCTGCTGATGATGATGATGATGACGACGATAATGATGATGATGATGATGATGATGATGATGATGATGATGGTGATGATGATGATGATGCTGATGATGATGATGATGATGATGATGATGATGGTGGTGGTGGTGGTGGTGGTGGTGATGATGATGATGATGATGCTGATGATGATGATGAGTTTAAGGTGATGAGGTCAAGGTGATGGTCCTGCGCGGGAGGTGTGCAGAGAAAACAAGAACCCCACGGTGGATGTGGGGATAGCAAGTTATGAACGTCAATTCGAGTCATGGATTACGGTCGGGGAGTTTTGGATAGCGCGTCGTTCCGCTGGTTCCGTCCAACCATGCTGAAGTGCGGCATGCCATCCGCTTCTCAGTTCCCAGACTGCAGCGTCCCGAGCCTTTCTGAGCATCCCGCCCCGCGGGACGGAGCGACAAGCTATCCGCTTGCACGGCACAGCGTGTCGCCAGGGCCGCCGCGGCGACACGCTGAGCAACAGCTCCCGACCGTAGTAACGCTTCGCGTATCCGAGCCAGCCAATCCAGACGCGATGCCCAGCGGAGTTGCCATGAGCGGGAGAGCGGGGCATCATTTGGAGATTGGGCGCTTCTCAAGGGCCTCTTGGGGCGTATGGGGGCCTCTGACTGGCCCTTTGGGGCCTTTCAGGGGCCTCCACCCATCGATCGAAAAGAGGGGGCAGCGTTGATCAGGTTTGCCCCCCCCCCCCCCCCCCATCCCCCCTCCCCTATGAAGCCCGAATGGGCCAACACTTGTGACAAATCAATGATTTTGGCCTTCTCGCTGGGGCCTTGGGCGCTCTAATTAATTACCCGCGACCCCTCCTGTCCAGACCCACGGGAAGTGGGTAGAGAGGGGTAAACGGAAAACATCGGGGGAGATAAAAGAAGAAACGCGCTAACTCACCTCCGCCTAGAGGGCGGGCAGGATGCTTCTCCATTTCTGCATGAGGACACACAGGGTGCACGGAGATCGGCGAACAGCACATTCATCTGGGTCTCAGTGCCCCCCCGGAATCCGGGATTGTTCGGGGGCTTCCGCCAGTGGCCTCCCTAGGCGTTGGCCTTCCCCAATCCTCCCCCCCCCACACACACGAAGAGGCAAGACGAGGAGGAGGAGGAGGAGGAGGAGGAGGAGGAGGAGGGGGAGCAGAAGGAGGAGGAGGAGGAGGGGGAGGAGGAGGCCCCTCCCCAGCCCCAGGCCCTGCAAGAGCAGCTGCGCCGCCTCCAAGAGGAGGTCCCGAGCCTGCGCTCGGCGAGGGAGGAGGCCGAGGATGGCCGCGTGCGGCCGCCGCGTCCTGGGCTGCCTTGTCCTCCTCTTCCTCCTCTTCCTCCTCCTCTTCCTCCTCCTCCTCCTCCTCGCCCTCCTCCTCCTCTTCCTGATCCTCATCCTTGCCCTCCTCTTCCTCATCCTCCTCCTGCTCCTCCCCCTCCCCATTCTCCTCCTGCTGCTGCTCCTCCTGCTGCTCCTCATCCTTCTCGCCCTCCTCCTCCTCCTCCTCCTCCTCCTCCTCCTCCTCCTCCTCCTCCTCCTCCTCCTCCTCCTCCTCCTCTCTCTCCTCCTCCTCATCACTTCACCGACCTCACGTCAACCAGCACCCGGGACTCAGACCAATGACGTAAAATCTCAGCGAACGTCGAGACGTCTCGCCCGGCCCGCGCCGACACCGATACCAAGGACCTTAGTTTCCTCCTCCTCCCCCTCTCCTCCTAACTTTTTATATGTCTCGCATCGCATGAATCCAGACACTTCAGATCATAGAGGCCATGGCCTCACCCACCTGGTCTGCTCTAGGCCCGGACGCTGTCCGCAACGATGGTCGCATCGCATCGCATCGCATCCTCCTTCTCCTCCTCATCCTTCTCCTTTTCCCCCTCCTCCTCCTCCGCCTTCTCCTCCTGCTCCTCCTCCTGCTCCTGCTCCTCCTCCTCATCCTCCTCCTCTTTCTCCTCCTCCCCCCGAAGACTGTTTCATGGTGGTCCGCCCGCCTGAGGCGGGCTTCTTCAGGGCCCCGCAGATCGCCGACGACCCCACCCCCCTCACTCTCATCCGCAACTGTGGGGTGCTACGTTTATGCCCCAAACAGTGCTTGCACGTACGGGTTCTCACTTCTGTTCGGGGAAACTAGGCTTGGGTGTCGGTCTGGCGGCTCCGAGGTCACCGTCGCCGCCCTGTCGCCGCCTCGTCGCCGCCCGTCGTGCGGGGCCTGGGTGTCGGCTTGGCGGCTCCGTGCTCGCCGTCGCCGCCCCGTCGCCGCCTTGTGACCGCCGATCGTGTGGGGCCTGGGTGTCGGTCTGGCGGCTCTGGGCTCACCGTCGCCGTCTCGTCGCCGCCCCGTTGCCGCCTGGATTGAGTCACACCAGAGAAAACCCCAATCAAGGGATGGTTTGAATTGGGATCGATACGGAGATCAACAGGAGGAGGAGGAGGAGGAGGAGGAGGAGGAGGAGGAGAACCCACCGAAATCGGCCTGGAGCCAATAACCAGGGACCAGGAACCCAGGAACCCAGCCGGCCACCAAAATCGGCGGGACATTGTCGCCAATGCTCCAATTTCCGTGAGGACCCCTTTAGTGCAAGCACTGATTGGGGAACAGCGTAGAATGCACCATACATACAGCGCAATTTAGATTGCACCACATAGATTCTCTTTTCAAGCAACGGAGTACGTAGTATCTACCACCACCATCCCCTCTGGCAAAATGTACCCCCTCCCCCCTCAGAGAGAGGGATGTTCACGTTTGATTATGCCCCATTGTCGCCCCCCGTTCACCCTTGTCAAATAATACTATGCGCGCACGCTCGTTTATCAACGCATCATCAGTTTGCAATCATACCTGGCAACAGATGTGGCAAAGTTCACACGCGCGCGGCGTTGCGCGCGCATGCAGAATTTTAAGACAAACATCAGGAAGGATTTCAATATCGAGTTTTTGTATCACATATAGAACCAATGGAGTTGCAACCTGAGGCTTGAAAAGCATGCGCGCTTTTGCGAACCCAAATGGCGTTTCAACATGTTCATTGTTCATCAAATCCGACCAAGTGGGCGTCTCTCGCGCGCATGTCGGAATCAGTCGAACGCCCTTGCGCGCTTGCTGGGGGGAGGGGGGGGCGGGGGGGCACGATCCCTACCAAATAATATACCATGCGGTCCACTCGCCCGCGTCAGCCGCACGCGCATGTCAAAATCCTTCCAAAACCACCATCCTCATCGTTTTGCTGTTGGCTTTGCAGTCATCGTCTGGGAGTGCGGGGGGGTGAACTTTCTCCTGGGTGAACTCTCACTGTGTGGGGGGGTCCCTACGATTCTGCTACACCACCTCACTAATATCGTGATCCCAGGAAGTGGGAAACATTGACCTTCCCAGCCCCACCCTCTCCTCCTCATCCACCTCCTTGTCCTCCTCCGCCTCCTCCTCCTACTCCCTACTTCTCCTCCTCCTCCTCCTCCTGCTGCTCCTCCTCCTTCTCCTGCTCCTCCTCCTCCTCCTCCGCCTCCTCCTCCTCCTCCTCCTCCTCCTCCTCCTCCTCCTCCTCCTCCTCCTCCTCCCCCTTCCCTCTCTTGGTTTGTTCCCTCCCATCCCCTTCTCTTCTCCACCCACCTCCCCCGGCCCCCTTAGAGCACGGGCTCCGCACCCCGCCTCTCTACCTACGTTCCTCCCTCCTGTCCCCCTGCCTACTCCCGCTCTCCTGCTTGGTACACTTGGGTGAGACAGCGGTTCCCCGGCCGCCGTCACCTTGCTCCCGCGGATTCAGCCAGCACGCCCACTGCACCGCCACATTGCCTTCATTCGTGTGGTGCGAGCTGGGATGCCCATCCCCGTCGCGGAGCAGGCGTGCCGCCCCACCTTTGGCCTGACGGGCTGGCCGCGAGTCCTCTCCCACAGCTGTGGCAGGTTCGGCACCCCTTACTTTCACAGGCGCGAGTCGCTGGAGCTCGGGCCGCTCAGCCCCCGCTACTGCCCATCCTCATCCCACGCTCCTGCTTAGGTCTTGGCCTCCAAGATGGGGTCCGAGCAGATGGGGTCGGATGATCACGCCGCATCGCCGATGCATCGGCGATGTGGCTCGATGTGGAGCCCAATCTTCTCCACGCCCACGTCGCCGATGCATCGCCGACGTCGACGATGCATCGCCGGTGCATCACCGATGCATCGCCGATGCATCGCCGATGTGTCGGCGATGCGGCGCGATCCTCCAAACCCATCTTCTCCGACCCTATCAAACAGGCCTCTGTTAGGACACTTGGATGAGATAGCGGCACCCTGGCCGCTTTCACCTGGCCCTCGTGGCGTCGGTCAACAAGCCCATTGCACCGCCATTTTTCCACCATGCGGCACTTGGGTGAGATGCGAGCTGGGGTACCCGTCTCTGTCGATGACTTGGCGTTGGCGTCCGAGTGGCAGCTCATTTCTGGCCTGCTTGGACGGCGTCGTGCCGTTCATACCGCCGTTGCAGGTGCGGCACCCCGAAACCCAACCAGCGGCGAGGTCACGGGAGCTGGGGCTGTTCGCCCCAATTTCTTACCATTCCCCCTCGTCCTCCCTCCTTCCGCACAGGCGGCGGGCAGTGGGGTGAGATAGCGATTCCCGGGCCGACGTCGCCTTGTCCCCGCTAGTTTCCAGCACGCCCACCGCACCGCCACTGCATTCATAGGATCTTATGGTGAGGTGCGACACGTTTTTGGGAATGCGATCTGGGTGCGATGTCGATTCCCTGGCCGCCGTCGCCTTTCTTCCGCCAGCTTCGGCCAAGGAGCCCCACTGCTCCGCCGCTGCGCTTTCATGAAGCACTTGTGTGCGATGTGACATAGGTTGCCCAGTCCTGTTGATCAGCAGGCGTTGGCAACCGATCGTCAGTTCAGCATCATGACTGAACCTCCGCATTGCTTTCTCCTGCAAGATCCCGTCCTTCTTGTCCCCCATCCGATCCCATATCCTCCCTTGCCGTTCTCCAGCGCCCGTCTCCCAGCGCGGCCCCCTCTCAGTCCTCTCCGAGGCCAATCCCCCCCGTTTGATTTCCTTTGCGCTCCATCCCCATACGTATTGTAGAAACATGCTCAACGGTGCACTGCACTGCCATAGGCACCGCCATAGTGCCCTCGCGCTGCTTTTTGGTGAAGTACGAGCTGGGATGCCCATAACCTGTCGATGAACAGGCGCTGGCACCCGAGTGTCAGCTCAAATGTGAGCTGTCTGGACGGTTTCGCGTCGTTCATGCAGCCGTCGCAGGCGCGGCACTCCGAACTTAAAGGGCGAGAGGTCGCCGGAGCTTGGACTCCTCATTTCATTTCTCTCTCTTTTCCCCCCCTCTTTACCCCTGCCTTCTGCCACGCTCCAGATTCGGGCACTGAGGTGAGGTAGCGAATCCCAGGCCGCCGCCACCTTGCCCTCGTGGCGTCGGTAAACACGCCCACTGCACCGCCAGTTTTCCATCATGCGGCACTTTGGTGAGATGCGAGCTGGGATGCCAATCCCTGTCGATGACCAGGCGTTGGCGTCCGAGTAGCAGCTCATTTCTGGCCTGCTTGGACGGCGTCGTGCCGTTCATACCGCCGTTGCAGGTGCGGCACCCCAAAACCCAACCAGGGGCGACGTCATGGGAGCTGGGGCTGTTCGCCGCATTTGCTACCCACGCCCCCTCGTTCCCCCTTCTTCCGCACACGCTTCGGACGCTTGGGTGGGATATTGGTTATGTATTCCTGTTCCCCATTCCCCATATACCCCTTCCCCCCGTCGGTCAAGGAGCGTGGCATCAGCACCAGGCCTGCCGGGCCCAGTCTGGGAACGGACCCTCGGAAGACTTGCCAACCACAGGTGCAGGCTTACTGGTTGGTGGGCATTGAGATGGCTCGTTCCTCCGATCTCCGCCGCAGGTCCGCTGGTGGCGCCGAAGTTCCTCACGCAGCCCCTGCAGCCCGCTGGGGCCCCGCCCGAGGGGGGCCCGTGCGGGCCTGCAGTGCGTGCACCGTGACATTCTGGGCACTCGGCTGATTGGCGGGGGAAGAAGAACGACTTGCCCCCCTGGGTGAGCTCCCCTGTGTCGAGGGGGGGGGGGCCTTCCCGATTCTGTGGGCCACACCCCCTCCTTAAAGACGTGATCTCGGGAAGTGGGAGCCTAAACCTTCCTGGTACCCCCTCCTTTCTTGGTTGGTTCCCTCTCCTCTCCTTCTCTCCTTCGCCCCCCTCCTAGACGTCTCCTTCTCTGCTTCGCCCCCCTCCGATACGCTCTCGACTGAGTAGTTTCTTGCTACCTGTCCCACGCCGCTTG